AATTTGAGCTGAGCTAATCCAAAGGGAATGTTGTGGTGACAGAAGATGTTACATTTTTTCTACCTGTGTATATGCTTTCTTTCTAGGGCTGCTGATAAGCTCAGGCTGTGCCTTATACCCTTTAGGATGGAATAGCCCGGAGATAATGCAAACATGTGGGAATGTCTCCAATCAATTTCAGTTAGGTAAGGTGGCCTGGGCAGATGGCAATGATGGTTCATGGGAAATCTGTTTTCCAAAGTGCTTTGTCACTTGGAGGGGACTCTGCTGGTGGTACTTGTCTGAATCTCTCTTACTGTGTTAGCTTATGGGAAGTGGTGGCTTAACTCACAAGAGTTGGATATAAATTCCCCTTCTTTAACTATCTCTCCATACCATTTATGTACTTTTGCCCATAGACCTTTGACCAGTTTAAGGAAACCCTACCTTCAGAGGGATTTAAAATGCTTGGATACTAATGATCTGCCATCTTCTGAATAAATCCTAGTTCCTATTAGTGTTTCCTTCTAGGCACCGTTTTCCAAATGTAAATCAATAGTATCATCTCTTGTCAGTCTTCACTGAACATGTAACATGAAGTTATTTAGTTTACCTGAAACATGAGGAACCTCGATAAATATTCAAAATTGTTTCTAACAGTAAGAGCTGTTAGAGTAGATGACAGAAGTAGCCCAGAACCATTCTCTGGTTGCCAATTCTCACTGAGAATGGCTCAGTTTCACTACTGTGAGTTAGTAATAGATTAGACTCTAATTGGAAGACTTCAAAAATATTCCCCCACCCTATCATGATGAAAGAGAGTAGGAGAGGGAATGTCTAGATATCCTTGGGTATTCTCCATTTTACAAAAGGATTTGGGAACAGCAAGGCCATCCAACCACATATAGCTTATACTCCAATACTTCCCTTTCTCTCTGTTGCCTCAGATTATTTTTTGAGTCTTGCTTGACTCATTTTTGAGAAAGTTGTTACCTATGAAAACATAACATGAGGGATGGTGTAACAAGTGTGGATGCTCAAATGTTCAGCGTTCTTCACTCAGGGCAAGGTTGACTGGTAAATTTAATATTTCTGCCATAGATAAAGAAATGAGTAAATACTGGGGCAGTTGCTGAAGAAAGGGAAGCAAGCCACTAGTCCTGCTAGCTGGGGTAAAAGCTAAAGATTGAGCACATTTTCCTACTTGGTTGTGGGACTGATTCTACTTTTTGAAAATGACAGTTTTGTTGATATATAATTCACATACCATAAAATATACCTTGTTAATGTGTATAATTAGCAGGTTTTAGTGTAGTCACAATGTTGTATAACCATCAATACTATTCAATTCCAGAACTTTTTTTTTGGGGGGGAGATGGATGGGATGGAGCCTACCCCTATCGCCCAGGCTGGAGTGCAGTGGCGTGATCTCAGGTCACCACAACCTCTACCTCTCAGGTTCAAGCAATTCTCCTGACTCTGCCTCCTGAGTAGCTGGGACTACAGGTCCGTGCCACCATGCCCAACTAATTGTATTTTTAGTAGAGACAGGGTGTGTGTGGGGGAGTTTCCACCCTGGCTCAAACTGCTGACCTCAGGTGATCCACCTACCTTTGTCTCCCAAAGTACTGGGATTACAGGCATGAGCTACTGCACCTGGCCATCCTTTGCTTATTTTTAACTGGGTTATTTGTTATTGGTGTTGTCATTGTCATTGAGCTGTAAGAGTATTTTATGTATTATTGTAAGCCTCTTTTCAGATATATGATTTTTAAATATTTTGTCCCATTCTGTAGGTTGTCTTTTCACTTTCTTGATGACATTCTTTGAAGTACAAAAGTAATTTTGATGAAATCTAATTTATCTATTTTTCTTTTTCTTTTTTTTTTTTTTGCATATGTTTTGGATGTCATATATAAGAATACATTGATAAGTCCAAGGTCACAAAGATTTACCACTAGGTTTTTCTCTAAGAGTTTTATAATTTTAGCTCTTACAGTTGGGCCTTTGTTCTGTTTTGAGTTAATTTTGAAAGTGGTATGAGGTATAAGTCTATATTCATTCTTTCGCATGTGAATATCCAGTTGTTATAGCACCATTTCTTGAAAAGCCTATTATTTCCCCTCATTGAATGGTATTGGTAGCCTTGTTGAAAAATCCATTGTCCATAAATGTAAGGGTTTATATCTGGATTCTTCATTCTATTCCATTGATACATATGTGTATTTCTATGCCAGTACCACAGTGTCTTAATTATCATAGCTTTGTAGTAAGTTCTGAATTCAGAAATATGAGGCTTCCTTCTCTTTTAATACTGTTTTGACTATTCTGATTATTTTGCATTTCCAGGTGAATTTTAGATTTATCTTGTCAATTTCTACACAAAAGCAAGCTGATACTTTGATATGAATTGTGTTGAATCTGTAGATTAGTTTGGGGAGTATTGCTCCCTCAATAATATGAAGTTTTCCAATCCATTAATGTGAGATGACTTTTCATTTAATTAGGTCACTTTCAATTCCTTTGAATGATGTTTTGTCATTTTCAGTGTAGAACATTTTTACTTATTTAGATAATTTTATTTATAAGGATTTTTATCTTTTTTTAAATAAATAAAGCAAGCCTATTAACACAGAATTGTTTTATACTTTTATTTTATTTAAGATTCCTTATTTTTATTATACAGAAATACAGATGGTCCCCCAACCTACTATGGTTTGACTCATGAGTTTTCAACTTTGCAATGATGAAAAACTGATACACATTTAGTAGAAACTGTACTTCAAAAATGCATACCCTACAGCATACTGTGTTGCCAGATGGTTTTGCTGAACTGTAACCCTATAAGTGTTCTGAGTACCTTTAGGGTAGGCTAGGTGAAGCTATTCCATTCAGTGGGTTAGGCATATTAAATGCATTTTTGACTTACAATATTTTCAAGTTATGATGAGTTTTTTGGGATGTAACCCTACTGTAAATTGAAAAGTATATGTACAAATGATTTTTGCATGTTGGCCTTGTATCCTGCAACCTTGCTGAACTCCTTTATTAATTCTAATAATTTTTAAGTGTATTCCTTAAAATTTTCTAGATACAACATCATGTTATCTGAGAATAAAGGAAGTTTTACTTCTTCCTTTCCAAGCTGGATGTCTTTTGTTTGTTTTCCTTGCATAATTGCCCTTGTAAGAACTTCCAGGACAATGTTGAATAGAGCTTGTGAGAATGGAGATTCTTATCACTGGTGTTAGTGGTAAAATATCCAGTTTTTTTTTTTTTTAATCATTAAGCATTGATGTTAGCTATGTTTTGTTCATAGATGGATGAACTTTATTAGATTGAAGAAGTTCCCTTCTATTCCTAGTTTGCTGATTGTGTTCATAATGATAGGGTGCTGGATTTAATCAGATGCCCTTTCTTCATTTACTGAGATGATCATGTAATTTTTGTCTTTTATCCTTTCAATATGGTACATTACATTGATTGATTTTCACATGTTAAACCAATATTGAGTTTCTTGGATAAATCACAGTTGGTCATGATGTATAATGCATTCTATATGTTGCTGGATTTAGTTTTCTACCATTTTGCTAGGGGTTTTGGTATCTATATTTATTAGGGATATTGACCTGTATATTTCTTTTCTTGTGATGTATTTATTGACTTTTGGTATTAAGGCAATATTGGCTTTATGGAATGAGTTGTTATGATTCTATTTTGACTAAGGTAAAATAGCAAAGTAAAAAGTTGGATATGTGATTTGCATGGAGTTTACCAGCCTTGTTTTCTGCCCTAATCACCACTTAAGGACTAGTTCATAAATGGGTGGTTCTGGGCTGGGTACAGTGGCTCATGCTTGTAATTCCAGCACTTTTGGAAGCTGAGATGGGTGGATCACTTCAGCCCAGGAGCTCCAGACCAGCCTGGGAATCATGGTAAAAGATTCACTTTACAAAATATAAAAATAATGAGCTGGCCATGGTGTTATGCACCTGTAGTCCCAGCTACTTGGGAAGGGAGATACACAGAGCCAAAAAAAAAAAAAAAAAAAAAAGACATGGTCCCTACCAAGGAACAAGCTTTTCACCCTGACATGGTTCAGAGAGATGAAGAAGGTAGGGAGAAGAATAGAGGCAGGCATTATTAACCCGTCAGAGTAAGTAAAAAGGATTTATCACTCTGATACTGTGATAGGCTTTTTGTAGCCTTCAGTATGAATAGATCACACTCATGTCTTCAACCCATCTTTTTCTAGGTTTACATTCAAGTTATCCTAAACCATCCACACTACTTTTTAGTCCTGATTTGAATGATCAAAGATACAACTTACATTAAGGCACTGATCTTGATGCCTGCATTGGATTAAATATAGCCACAAATTTCTTGATACTCTTCCCATAGAGAAGCTGAGTCTATTTCCAATTCCTATTTCCAAAATCTTCACTGGCCTATAGCTGCTTTAAGTTAATCTAATTAAATCTAATTAGAGCATTAGACTTAATACTCTAATTAGATTCATTATAAAAGATAAATAGAGTATGACAGAAGTGACATGAAGCTTATTCAAGGCTTATGCTCTAAATAACTTGCAGTTTTCATCTTGGTTTCTTGGAGCTCTGAGTCATCATTTAAAAAGTTTGACTATCCTGCAGAGACCACATGGTAATTCCAAGAGATACTTAAAGACCGAAAAGTTCAGCTAGTACAGCTATTCCTACCAAGGCATTAGACGTGCAAGTGAAGTTGTTCTGAACCCTTCATACCGGTTAACTGAATATCACTGAATGACACCAGTTAATGCCATTTGAAGTAGAAGAATTGTCCACCTGAGCTCTGAACAAATTGTGATCCACAGAACCATGAGATATTATAAAATGTTTTTTTAAGCTGCTGTGCTTTTAAGTAGTTTGTCATACAGCAATGGATAACCAGAAAAATGCCAAACCAAAAGTATATTTCAGATCATTATTTTTAATAAAAATAATTCATGTAAGTGACAAAATAAAACAATACATATATAAAGGTTTAAAACTTAAAATCAGGTTTTTTTTTCTGGCCTCAATCCCATTCCCCAAAGTAAACATTAAGTTCGTTTTATATTCTTCAGAGTTTTTAATAAATATAAAATATTTTTTCCAATTGAGATTATATTATATAATTCTCTAACTATCTATCTAGCTATACTGTTCTGCACCATGGGTTTTGC